TTACCATTATACAGCATATTATTTCTTCAGAGCACAGCCCTCATTGAGTTCAAGTGCAGCTGTGAGTGCTCATCATTGTGGAAATCAGATTCCAGGTGTCTTAAGTTGAGCACCCGGAAAATGAGGAACACAATTTAGTGACCACCTGTGAAATTTTTGGTTAAGTGACTTGTTGAGCATCACAACAGAACTTGGTGGCAAAGAAAGGGATAGAATCTCCAAGTGGCTGATCTAGAAGTATTTTGTTCGGTTCAGTTTTAAGTGACTTGCTAGGGAGACCATTCTAAGATAGAATTTTAATTTGGATTTCCCCTGCCATTGTATATTATGATCAATGCAAAACTAAAGAACTGTAGTCTACTCTAGCAGGAAGTCATCACAACCACAGAGAAGCAGTTTGATACCACACCTATATGAACATCTGTAAAACAGTATGTATTTTTTCTGAGGCTCCTGAACACAGGGAATATTTAGTTAAATGTACTTGATTCAATACATGTGTTTTCACACTTGATTAAATTAAAAACAGAATGAAATGAACTTGCGGAAACTATAGAGCATTAAATCATGAACACACTGAACTAGATCAGTATGAAAAGTGTTGACACAGTTTAATGAGAACTTTGCAGACTGTTTTTTACTATTGGAGATATCCCTGAACAAACAGGAATCAGAACATTTTTGTTCTCCAATATTTCCTGTTGACTCTTCATACTGAAGGCTACTGAAACATCCTTCCCCACCTGAGTCTTGTGCAGAGAAATCTTGACTTCTGCTTTAAAAAGGGACAGTTTTAAAAAAACCAAAACACTTACACATTTTCATTTTGAAAGCTGGTGCAGAAGTTATACCCTCTTCCCAATATAAATAGAAGCAAACTAGATTTTAGACACTTACAAAGATAGAAAGGTTTATTAAACAAATCCAGAATTGACAGATATTACATAAATTAAACAGCAGTAAAATTTTACTAAAGTTTATGTACAGATCACAGTGATTTTAATTGTGCAATGAGGGCTGACTTATGACTTTGAACAGTACTTATACATTGGATTTAGGACAAGCAACCAACAACATGTAACATTTGTCTAAGTTAACCTTGAAAGTCTAGCAGTTCAAATTGGTTAAGTAGTACACTGATGCCTGCTGCAACTACCACTACTTACTATGCAAGTATTTATCAAGCAGTTAGGTTTGCCATAGAAAAGTGCAATACATGGAAATGTCTGTACACAGTACAGTACAAAAGGAATCATGCTACAGTTCTTGAAAGCTGAAAAATAATTGTATAGCATAAGAAGCACTGCATCACAAGTCTTCTGAATGGCAAGCAGAAGGGCTGAATAGTAGGCATATTTTAATTGCTTTCAAAATCCACAAAATCCCTGTTCATCCATTTAAACATAGTTTAGTACCTATATTTTGATCAATTAACAATGACTTTTCTACAGTGGAAGATCACGTTAGTTAAAGCTCAGTAGCACGAGTATTCATCAATTAAGCTAATTTACAGGAAAATCTACAGCATGTTCTCCATCTAAATCATGAAGCATTTTAATCATTTGGTTACAAGGCAATTTAGTTTACAATGCAAGTTCATTCACGTAAAAGCTCATATTGGGCAGTTTAAAAACAAATATATAAACACAAAAATAAAGATAATTTTAACATTTCTTTTGTAACGTTCTTGTTCATTGAAGCTGAAGAAATATAAAGGTCTTATTACTGTTGTGGGAAAACAGCACTAGTTTATATGCAAAATACTTGTTAACAAAAGCAACCATTATAAAAAAAGAACTTTAGAGAATATAACACTTGAGTCATATAATAAATGAAAAAAATGTTTTAAATTACTGAAGAAATCAGAGTCCTTCATGGAGTGTCTGTTTGAGAACTCCTGGTTAAGCACTGATATATATTTGCAACAGTGTGGTGTGAAATCCCAATCAGCAAAGAGTTAAAATGAAACTGACCCAACCATGCAAATAAATAAAATGTATAGGCAGTGGTGCCTCTTAAATTCTATATTGTACAGGAAATAACTAATCATAATTACAAAACAGTTTTCATTTAAATAATGTTATGAAAATGGTCTATGGTTAATAATCGTAAGTTACCAAAATGTGAAATAAGTTTTATACTAGAAAGCACATAAAGAGATTATTAGTCTGTAATAATTAGAGATCAGCAGTTGAGCTATATATGCACACACAATTCCAGAAAGAATGTAAAGTCAATCTATCAACTTAGTTTACCTGCCTGATTAGATTTCTCTACTCTCTGGTACAAAGCGTTTCAGTGCATCCATTGGCAACAATGGATAAATTTCACGGACAAAAATCTAACCCCTGGTGTGAAAACATTCAAGATCAATTACCGCCGCTGTGATACATGTGTTCATATGTATTCCCCTCTTCTGGCTTTGAAGATGTAAATGAGGCCTTAGGCAGTTTTTTAAATCTGCAAACTGAGTTCTTGAAATTCAGCACACTCATTGCGATATGTACATTTTGTAATAAGAAACGGGTTTTGTAGTTCTCCATGAAATACTGTAAACTTACACATGAGAAAGAACTGTACTCTCTTTCGAAAGTACAAGCTCTGTGTGCTGTGTACTTAATTATTCTATCAAATCAGCAAGAGAAAGTTATCTCCCTGCATATAAATACATGCCAGATCAAACATTTTACAGAGATTGATATATTTTTACCAAGTAAAATGACTGTTCCTTATGCCAGTTCTGTGTCTTATTTTTATTTATTACCAGTTTCTACCCAGTATTTAATGGGAGTGGCACTTGGGGCCTCTTAATAACCAGCGACATGTGGCACTTGCATCAAGTTATCAAGATGTCAATAGCAACACAGAATTTCCCCTTTGGTGTCTCAGTTTACTACCAGATAAACACTGTCTGCATTTCTGCAGGACACTTATGTAATCAATCACACTCCTGTATTGTGTATAGGTCCAGAGAAATAGCCATTAATTTTTCAATATAAAGCAGAAATTGGAGTTTGACATATGATTAATTATACAAAATGATGAACATATATCTGTCAGCTCACTGCACTTGTGCACTGATGAGAACTAGGTGGGTACAGATGTCAGCAGCTTTTTACTGCTAGAGACTCCTGGCTGAAATTTGACTGAAGTCAGAAGCAGAATTATTTTACTAGCTTGGGTTATGAGCCAAGTGACCATTTGAATATCACATACTATATTGCATTCAGCATGCAGTTCAGAACAATTACCCAACTTAGGCCTAGATTTCAACAATACCTAGGGCACTGCAGGTTACGATTGAGGTGCAGAGATCTGTGGAAAAGTGTCCACATCATCTGTTTTGGTATTCTTAAACTCTACTTAGAGCCATCAGTATAAGTAATAAGACTCCAGTGCACAAATGTGCCTTTTAAAAAAATACTTTTGGCCTAACTACATTTATCTACAACACAATCATTGGAAGCATGTATTTTTTGTTTTGTTTTTAAACCCTGATACTTCAAAATCAATTCCTTATGTTAGCACAAATATCACAGTGTGAAATATGAAATCAAATATTCTTAAATTATATCTAAATCTACCTCTGCATTTATGTGTATACACACACATCACCTGCTAGTATTTGGTGTTACTTAAAATGAAGCATTATTGCAAATATTCCTTAAATACAGTGCACTCCACTTATAAACTGATGTGGTCCACCTAGAAAACTGATCAGAGTAGATAAAAAACAGATTAGGTTTAAACCTGAAGTCCAATCCTGCGTGTGTTAAACTCCTAATGGTGAGGACCTATAGGACAAGACCCTAATAAGTTTAGCCCTGGATTTTCAAACATAGGAGCACAAAGTTAGGCATCTAAACCCATATTTAGGCACCTGTCTGATTTTCAAAAGTACTGAGCATCCAACAGCTCCTACTTAGGTCAATAACAAAAAGAATTTCAACTATAATCAAAGTATGCCTGACACTGCTAGTTCTCAACTTGGGGGAAAAGAGCTGCTAGGAAGAGCCAGGAAGTTTTAAAAAATGGAGCTATTGTACAGATCATTTCCACAAAGTTATTTAATTCCATGATTTTTAGGGAAAATATTCAAAGATAATTCCATATTTTGCAGCATAACTGAACAAGAACAATGTTTAATAGCTTTTGGTTGGTTTTTTAAAATCCAGATTTGTTGTTAGGGAGGATCGAGTAGTCTTCACTAACATATTCCACTGTTTATACTACTGTTCACATCTTTTAGATTACATATTTTTCATATTTTCTTTGAGTAACTCATTTCTCCTACTTAAATATCAGAAATTGGATAAAGTAGAACAGTGACAGCAACAACAGATCTACCCCCCACCCCTCATTAGCAGTATGCACTGCTTTATATGCCCTACAGTGATTTCACATACAAGGGAAACCCACTATACACAGTGTGTAGTCACCAAATATCATATCATATATATGTAAAAACACAATGCATTGTTTTAACCAAAGTTACTTATGAAGGCGTTAAGATGATGTTTTTTAAATGAACAACAAAACATGTCCTTTTTCTTTCTGCTTTCAAGTATTACGGTTGCAAATGTGAAGCACTGGAAGTTTTAGGTACAAACCTTTTTAAACTTAATTATTTTTATTTTTTACAAAGAATTATAAAATGCATATAAGATGATGAAAAACTCATTTATCCTTTTACGATTTTCCCCCAGAGAACTTCTTGAAAAACATTATTTGAAAAATAAAAATCATAGACTCTGCAAAGTACAAAAATTTACATCTTTGCACAGTTCCTGTGCTTTAGTTGTATGTAATCATTATATACATATATACTAATTTGTGCTTTTAATTACACAAGTTTAGTATAAACTTATAAAATTAAGTCTATGCGTTAACTATGCAAAAAGGATCTGAGCATAGCAGGAAACTAACACTAAAACAAGTTAAAAAACTACAAGATAGAATTTTTCATGAGTCTACTACTTTCAGTAGAGTAGACTTTCAGTATCACAATTTGCTAAACTAATGCCAATTCTATACAGTTAAAATGAGTCTCACTTGCCTGCCAATTGTTTAAATATTTATCTACTAATGTGCACATATGAATGTGATAACACTCTCCTACATGTCAAAGAATGTCTTCATGTATGTACTCAGTTCTTCTTTGCAAACTTGCGAATACCACTTCAAACTTCTTCCAGTTTCCAACATAAAACTAAAAGAAAAAAAAAAGTTTAAAAGAATGCCAAGTTCCAGACAAGTATAGTTAAGATTACAATGCTGTGAAAATAGGGACATACAAATACTTGGACCACCTCATCTGTAAACTTATCTAGTATCTCTTCATCTACTATACTTCGTATTATTTATATATTTACTATACATTGGTTCAGCTATTCTTTAACAGCAATTCTCCTTACCCGTCTCCATTTTTCTCACCCTAACTGAATCTTAAAAAGAGCCAGGTGAATTTTATAGCTATGTGATTAAATAATCAGAAGCTGTTGTTACCTGTCAGCTCTGTGTTCTTGGGGAACCAGAGTGCAGTATCCAGCCTGTCTGACTCATGAAAGACCTTCTCCCCACCCAGCCTCTGCTTGAACCAAAGCCGATCAGAAGAAAGACTTACAACAAGCAATGAAAAGGCGGTGGGAGACACACCTAAACCCCTGGGACAAGGGTGACAGGATTAAGGAAACTCCCCTCGCCTCATTTGCATCAAGGATGGGACAGGGAGGCATCCCCATTAGCAGACTGAATGGAGAACAGAGATTCCAAGGCAAGAAACGCACTGAACCCAGGGACCAGAAAAGCTGGGAATCACTGCATGATCTCTGCTCTAGAGGCTAATGAACCCACGCCTGCACACACCCAGCTCAGTAGTGATCAGACCTATTCTAGTAATAAATCCTTTATTGGTATCCAAAATACTGAAGCTGCCTAATTGCATTGTGAGCTCCCTCGAAGGAACACTACCCATAGCCAGGAATGATCAGTTCCTATTGTCTAGCCTGAATACAATACAATTTTGGTATACTCCCTTGAGCCATCAGTTTACCCATAAACAAATCTAGTGTTCTCCCTTGAACCATTGTTCTGTCCCTACAAATATCCCACCCATACTCAAGTATGTGTTCTGATGCTTGGATCGAAAATCTGCATCAGTTCCACTGGGACTTCATCTTCTCCTGACTGATTATGCTGGGGGCTCTGCCTGTCTCCAGCACTCTGGACCCTCAGCTACCACTACCACCTTGGACGCCGGATTGATTCAAGCTTCATATAGTGGTGAGAACCCAGCTCCCTCTCCCTCTCTCTCTCTAGGTATAGCCTTCTGACCCTGACTTGTGTGATCAGTTATAGTTTTCTAAACCTGACTTTTATAATCAATTTAAGTTCGATTTAATATTATAACTGTTTTGTTTGTTTGGCTCCCCTATGGTTATTACATGGCAATACATAACCTTCATGGTTAAGCTGGCTGCTTCCCTCTCTGCCCTGCCCTCCCCCCATCGTGGGTGTTTTTTGGCTCTCTCATTCGCTCTGCAGCAACGCTCCTCGTACCTAAGCTAAAGATCCCTGCAACACCCAAAAATCCTGTGGGGTTTGCTCATCAAGTGGGTTACTACCAGAACAATTGTAACATGAAAGTGGGGACAGGCACGTGCTGAACCTGGGACATATGAGGGTGGTAGCTTGAAAGTGCTGCTCAACCCAGTCTGCTGAGTCCAGGGACATATAAGGGGTCAGCCTGGGAGTGCTGATTAACCCGGTACTCTAAGTCACGTGTGTGTGTTCGTCTGATTCTGAGGCTGGAAGAACCCAGCCCTGGTGAACCTAGATCCTGCAAGATAGCTCCATTGGGAGGGAACTTGCAGAAGTAGAGCTCCATATGAGAACACAAGTGACACAGGCAGTACATTGATAGAATTACGAACCCCAACCCAGAGGAGTAACTATAATAAATGAGCATACCCCAAAGTAACGGGCAAATTTGGTAGCACTTTTTGTTCTGCATAAGGCTCTGTTGTACAAACCGACATTTCCTACTGAATTTCAACATACATACTACATGCTGCTATTTTACTAAGGTTACAGCTGACAAAGATGAAGGCCAAATACCTTGCCGAATTTGGTCGTCCACCCTCAGAAGTTCTGGAAAATTTCTAGATCTTTAGGGGCTACAGGAGGGGTTTTGTTCCAGTCATCTTCAGGATAAGCTTCAAAATTAGATGTATCTCCATCATTGGATACCTTCGGCACTATTGGAGGCTGATGAGAAATAAACAATACAAAAATGAAATAGATGTTTCATACCACAATAATTATCTCAATTAGTTATTCATCATCATCTTTTTGAACACATACTGTAGTAGTGCCTAAAGGCCAATCAGGTTGGTGCACACATTGTAAATGTTGTACAAACAGCAAGTGACAGTCCCTGCTCAAAGGGCTTGCAGTCTAAAATACCAGACAACAGGAGGAAAAGAGAAAAATGTGGGGGGTGGGGGATGAGGGGAACAGGATAACAAAATAAGATTGGCTAAGAATTACATAATCAAGGACACTATTTACAACTGCCACTTGCATACTGTTATCAGGGTGCAATTTACTCAATGCATTATGGAAGAAGTGATTTGTGAGTAGAGAATTGAAGGGTAAGATTTATGGATTTAACTAGGAGTTTTTCTCCCATTCATGAAGAGTTGGGATGGGAGTGGCTGAGGGAGAAGCAAGTGCTCTAGGTTGCTATCACTGGTAGAAGGAAGGCAGGAATCAATGGCTCAACAACCTAGTAGGCCTAATAGGTCCAGGCTAAATGCTGAAGGACCTTAAAGATGAAGACCAGAAGTTTGTCTAGGACAAAGGGACAGACGTGAGGGTGGAGGGGGGGCTGATGTGGTCTGTGCAATGAGACAGGAAGAGGTTCCTGACAGCAGTACTTTGAATGATTTTAGAGGGGCATTCATATTTTCAGATATGATGGCTCTATTAATAGAGAATAAATTTTCTGTGATTTAATTTTTGATAGAAGGATGAGCAGAGCTAAGAAAAATGCTCTGGAATAATGTTGACTCTGGATTAAACCCAAGAGAGTACAAAGATTACATAAAGGCTGAAGCTCCATCCTTAACTCATCTGTTTTCTCCTAGAGATTTGATCACCATCAATAGTCACATCTTAACTCTCTCTAAGGGTCAATGGGCATCTTAGCACTGACTCTATACCGGGCAATATCCATAAATAAAGTAGGGCCAATTATTACATATGGCAAAAGGCTTGCTCCTGTGGTGGTATTCCTTAACATTAATGGGGTAACAGGGAAGGAAAAGCAGGAGACAAAAAGAAAGGAACAAACATCATGAGAGAAAGGACAAGGTAAAGAAAGTAGTAAGAAAGGATAAAAACAAATAAATACTCTCCTGCACCCCTCTTAAAATAATTAGGAAAGAGGGGAGATGATTTTATAATCATTTGTAGGCATGCTCAAGGCTTCTCAATTGTTGCACAGTGCTTACATACTATGGTGAAGGGCACCTTAGTAATACAGTAAAGAGATTAGATTGTAACAGAACATTCTTGGAAGCTTTGACTAATTGCTTAGTGACTAAAATTTCAGAGAGTTAAATATAATATGACCTTTTCCTGCTGAGTATCAAGAAGTGATTTGGTCACATTAAATATTAATGTATTTTTAATATGTCCTTGCCATGATGACATCAGCAGGTCCTTTTGCTGGCAACAAATGTGTCTCTTTCTAACCACTCCTCAAGAGAGATTTGCATAATTTTTTTTTTGGCTTAGAAAACACCCCAAACCTATCAAACTGATTGCTTGTAAGTGCATTCAAATGTTTCACTCAGATACTTCACGTCATTCATATCCTATGCTTTTTCTAGTCTGGCAATAAACCCATGCAAGAGAAAAGCTTTCAGCACTTCAAATTACAGCAGTTCAAATTACTTTTTATTTTAAGAAAAAGTAGCCACATCATAAAATGCTGATTTTACAATGTTTTATTAATAAAAGTATTTATTTCATCCCAGTAGAACTTTTAAAGCAAATGTGGAGATATTGTGAGGAACCATCTGTTCTTAGCTTCCCCTGAAGGTCCTTTGAATTTCTAATATTGGCCTGGGGATCCCCAGTCTCCATAGCCTTCCCTGTCTTACATCTAGCACATAATCACCAGCCTACTCTCCTTCTGGGCCTGAAGTACAGAATGGGGCGCCCTTTATCTCTCTCTTTCATTAGCCAGATGGGTTTTTGTACAGCAAACAGATGTTACCTTCTCTCACACAACCCCCATCCTCTACTACCTAGGGAGCAAATTTAGCATTGTGAATCAAACCTGCATCTTCTGCTTGGCATTGCAAAGGCACTGGACTATCAAACCTCCTAATATGAAGCTTTATTCATATAATTTGTTATAAGCCATTAACAGATCAGAACATTACTATTAATCCCTTCAGGAAATGTTATGAAAACATTCTGAAATTAAGATTATTCCTGTTAGATATGACATATAGATGGTTTTCCTTAGTTATTTCAGTGTTACATCCAAAGTCATGTGATCAATATGGAACTGGGGGGGGGGGGAAACAGTGGTACTCATATAAGTAAGGCTACGTTTTAGTCACGGGTATTTTTAGTATTCATAGACAGGTCATGGGTAGGGTGACCAGGTGTCAGGTTTTCAACTGGAACATTGAGTCAAAAAGGGATCCTGGCAGCTTCAGTCAGCACTGCTGACCGCGCCATTGACTGTCTGTGTGGTGGCACTGCGAGGTGGGGCTGGCAGGCTCCCTGCTAACCTCCGCACTATGCAGCTGGCAGGAAGCAGCCAGCAAGTCCCCCTCCGGCTCCTACACATAAGGGCAGCCAGGTGGCACTGCATACTGCCCCCGCCCCAAGGCCACCCCCGCAGCTCCCATTGGTTGGAAACTGCGGCCAATGGGAGCGGAGAGGGCGGTGCCTGCAGACAGGGCAGCACGCAGAGCCACCTGGCTGCACCTCCGCGTAGGAGCCAGAGGGATGTGTGTTGAGTTCGGTCACAGAGAGCCCCTTGGGACTGTCACCTGATGTGCTTAATTTGCCTCTGAGCCTGTTTTCCCTGCCAGCTTGGGACTCCAGAAGCCTGCCTTGTTGAGCCAGACATGGTAGCCAGCTGAAAACACACACACAGGTCTGGTCCACACCCCCAAAGCTGCAGACTAACTGAAAACAGCTCAGCAAGTACTTCTGTCTCCAGCACTCAGACACCCAGTTCCCAATGAGATCCAAACCCCAAATAAATCTGTTTTAATCTGTATAAAGCTATTACAGGGTAAACTAATAAATTGTGCACCCTCTATAACACTGATAGAGATATATGCACAGCTGTTTGCTCCCCCCAGTATTAATCACTTACTTTGGGTTAATTAATAAACAAAAGTGATTTTATTAAGTATAAAAAGTAGGATTTAAGTGGTTTCAAATAATAACAGACAGAACAAAGTAAGTTACCAAGCAAAATAAAACAAAACACACAAGTCTAAGCCTAATACATTAAGAAACTCATTACAGATAAATCTCACCCTCAGAGATGTTCCAATAAGCTTCTTTTACAGACTAGACTTCTTCCTAGTCTGGGCCCAATCCTTTCCCCGGTACAATCCTTGCTAATTCCAGCTCAGGCGGTAACTAGGGGATTTCTCATGACTGGCAGCCCCCTTTGTTCTGTTCCACCCCTTTTATAGCTTTGGCACAAGGTGGGAATCCTTTGTCTCTCTGGGTCCCCACCCCTCCTTCTAAATGGAAAAGCACCAGGTTTAAGATGGATTCCAGTTCAGGGGACAGGATCACATGTCACTGTAAGACTTCATTACCCACTCGTGGCACACAGGTATACAGGAAGGCTTACAAGTCAACAGAGCCATCTACAAGCAATTGTCCTAGTTAATGGGAGCCATCAAGATTCCAAACCACCATTAATGGCCCACACTTTGCATAATTACAATAGGACCTCAGAGTTATATTTCATATTTCTAGTTTTAGATACAAGAATGATACATTCATACAAATAGGATCACCACACTTTGTAGATTATAAGCTTTGTAATGATACCTTACAAGAGATCTTTTGCATAAAGCATATTCCAGTTACATCATATCAACACTTATAAACATATTTTTATAAAACATATGGAGTGCAACGTCACAGTGGGACATGCTGCTGCTTC